AGCGGCGCCGGAGCCTGCAGGCGGCGACTTTGCGTCGCATCGTTTACGAAGTCTGGCTTTCAGGGCAAAGGGAGGCTATTTCAAGGGCCCGTTAATTACCAGATCTCACTCTTCCTACCGGAGCCTGAAAAGTCTCTACTTCGCTTCCATTCTGACCCAAGAGAAGCAGCAGCCCTGGAGAGGGCGGGACCCCCTGGCCACCTGGACGGGCGACCATCTCTGTAAGAAGCTGACACTGGACTCACCCTTTTCACTGGCAGCCGGGATCCTCAGGGTGGCCGCTGGACACTGGCCAAGGGAATTATAGGAGACCACAGACACCCAATAGGCCTCGCCGCCCAGAACCAGTTCGAGCTGCTGGTGGGTGGTGTTCGCCGTCTCCGTGAGGTTGGTGGTGTTTTCTGGAAAGTACCATATGTGGTAGCCAAGTGTTCTCTCCAGGACCGGGGCTCCTCTGGCCTTCTGAACAGGGAGGAGACCAAGCTTATTACCAAAAACAGAAAAGGAAAGGCACTGAGCGGGTGATAAATGGTGGTGGGGGGGGTAATGTTCACTCTCAGATGCTAAACTACGCGCAGGCCAAATAACGTGGACCGTCCCGGGATGAGCAGCGCACCCTGCGCCGTGACATCAAACCTTCAAGGGCCAGAAGAGGGGATCTGCTGGACGGTCCCGCGGTGTCAACGCCAACATACGTCCAATTCCATGAGGCCAGCTGGGAGCAGGCCGGAGCCGGTGTAAGCAAGCCGGCCCCGTTTCCTCCCGGCTGTACCTTCCCCTCCACCCCACACGGACAGAAGATCATCAGCTAAGACGCTGAGCCAACCCCAAGTCTGCTCTGGCCCCGGGTCACCCCTTGCCTGGAAGCCCCAGGGTGAGAGTCCCTGGGCCCCTACCCCTTGCCTCCTATCTCCGCACCCTCTGTGAGGGGGAGCCCGCCTCCTCGGACCAGGCACCCCAGGCTCCCCAGCTCAGATGGGCTGCCTCTCAGTCCTAAATTGTTGGTGAGAAGCCTAAGGTGACCCAGGGGCTCCAAGCCAAGCTCTTCTCTTCAGCCTTAAACGTACATCACCTCGGGTGCAGGGCTTTCACCAGAAGGCCAGGAGCCTGACTCTGCACCTGCCCCAAACGTCTGTGTTTCAGACGAAGGGACGGTGGGGCCACGGTCTCGAATGCACACTCAGGCCACCTACAAGGTGACCTACCAGGCTCTGTGAGCTAGGAAACCACTGTGAGATCAGGGGCATCATGAAGCCTCTTGGGAAGGGAATTCTGGAGGTCAAAGTTCAAGAATCACAGCTCCCCGAGTCGTAAGAGACCGAGGGTTATAACAAGGGAAATGGCCGGAGAGCGTCACCTTCCACAGCAGGGTCACAGGCCGCCTTCCATCTTCCCGGGCAGGTCCCAGGACTCGCCACAGGTCCAGGCCAAGGGGAGCTGTAAGAACAGAGCGAGGCTCAGCACCGACAGGAGGGGGTCCCACGGGAGCCTTGAGGGGTAACTTCCACCTTTGGAGAAAGTGGGAAGGGTTTGCTCGTGGGAGCCCGTGGGAGCAGCACTGCCGTAACCAGTGAGGTCAGGGTGTCGTGGCTGAAGGACTGGAATCAGCAAAAGGTAAACACTAAACTCCTCCTGGATCTGGTGACTTAGTGTAAGGTTAGAAAGGAGGGACGACAGACCCCACCGTGACAGCATTTATCGCTCAAATCTGGATTGACATGCCACACTGCACGTCCTCCAAGGCTTAGCATCTACATAGCGGGGGAAGATAACTGACGCGGAAATAGATCTAATTTATACCATATCCACCTCCCAAAAGGCTGAAGCTGGAAACTTTCGATGTTACACAGAATGAGAAGGAATTAAAGACGAGAGCAGCAGGGAAAGACTGCACTGCGTCCCTCTCTGGGCTCTAAGCTCACGCGGGCCTCCGGCAGGAAGAGCGCGGAGCTGCGGGTTCCTCAGGCCGGACGGAGACCAGCCCAGGAACCGCAGGCAGAGGCGAGCTCCACGCACCTCTCCAAAGAGCAAGGTAACGTGGGACAGCGCAGTGACCTGACCACGGGACACAACTCACAAAAAGGCGAGGAATTTACGTGTCGCTTGATCTCTGGACTATAGCTCTTGTCTCGGGGGCGTCTGGGCAAGGAGTGGGTGGCTGGCAGTTTGTAACATGACCCTCTGACATGCACTAAACTTTCAAATGCTGAGCTTTGACTGGAGACCGACCCACATGCTTCAGCCACGAGAGGAAGCCGAGAGTCTGCCTCGAGGCCGGTGATTGGAGAAATGAGATAAATGCCCCAGTTAAAGCTGTGGGTGACGCACCCTGAACTCTTTCTTGGGGAGACCACACGGCTGAGGATATTGTCATCAGGTCTGCAGGGAAAGGGGTCTGGCCCAGACCTGGACCAGTGTAGTCCTGAGAGATTGTTCTCAGGGGTCTCTCTGATTTCTGCTGACAAAGTGTCTTCAAGTGAAACTACTGAACTCCCACCGAAGACAAGTTCCTCATGTCAACAAACGAGCCAAAGGGCAGTGCAGTCAGTACCTGTCGCGTCATGAGAGACAGTCACCTTTCTACAGCTGCTCTCACAGTAAACAATGTGTGGGCAACCCAGCCTGTGTGAGCCCCGAGTCTCCCGGGAGATCGAACCCAGCCTGTGTGAGCCCCGAGTCTCCCAGGAGATCGAACCCAGCCAGCTGTGTGTGAGCCCCGAGTCTCCCGGGAGATCGAACCCAGCCAGCTGTGAGCCCCGAGTCTCCCGGGAGATTGAACCCAGCCAGCTGTGAGCCCCGAGCCTCCCAGGAGATCAAACCCAGCCTGTGTGAGCCCCGAGTCTCCCAGGAGATCGAACCCAGCCAGCTGTGTGTGAGCCCCGAGTCTCCCGGGAGATGGAACCCAGCCAGCTGTGAGCCCCGAGTCTCCCGGGAGATGGAACCCAGCCTGTGTGAGCCCCGAGTCTCCCAGGAGATCGAACCCAGCCAGCTGTGTGTGAGCCCCGAGTCTCCCGGGAGATCGAACCCAGCCAGCTGTGAGCCCCGAGTCTCCCGGGAGATTGAACCCAGCCAGCTGTGAGCCCCGAGTCTCCCGGGAGATCGAACCCAGCCAGCTGTGTGTGAGCCCCGAGTCTCCCAGGAGATCGAACCCAGCCAGCTGTGAGCCCCGAGTCTCCCGGGAGATTGAACCCAGCCAGCTGTGAGCCCCGAGTCTCCAGGAGATCGGCTATAATTCCGTGTAAGTAGTTGGAACGGCTTAGGCTGTAGGTATGATCTCATCTGCATTCCACTGGGATGTGTCCTAAGAGCCCTGGCAGGAGATTCCCAAAGCTGTTATTGAACCAAAAGCCAGGACAGCCAGTACTCAGCCTCCTCAGATGGGAGCAACAGCCTAGTTTCTGCCTGTTCACAAGCCAAGGAGACATGAGCGGAGACAGGGTTCCTCCCAAAGGCAGACTTAGGACAAGGCTACAAGGTCACGAGACCCTCAAGGCCACCACACAACTGGAAGAGCCCTAACTCTGTCTCTTACCTGCAGTCTCTCACTTCCACTTACGGGGAAGTCAGACTCGGGGCAGTAATACTGGGAGCAAGGGATGAAATCTAAGGGCAACGTGTTCATTAGAATCCAGCCCCCAGTATTCATCGGAAGAGTATACAGAGGCAAAAACAAACATTATTTAAAATCGATCATCCCAGTCACTTGATTAGAAACATGAGCTAAATGCTCCTTAGATGCATCCCCTAGGCAGCCATTCAGTCTTAGTAGGTGGTGATGCCGAATGAATTTGATCAGTATTTTCCGTTCACGCTGAGGCTGCAAGTTCCTGCAGAGAGAGAGTCCCCACCCCTGCCGACTTCCCGCAGATGCCGGGCTGGTGAAACCCCCGCCTCTAGCATGTAATCCTTCCATCAACCATGAGGTAATAATGGACTTGACGTTAATCCAAGGGGAAAAGTACTAATTCTGCATTTGTGAAAGAACAAAATTTTCCAAATCTGCAAAAAAAAAAAAAAAAAAATCTACATATTCAAAGGCATCCACCGTTTGGAGGATGTCGTCACCGTTTGCTGCTGCTGTTTCTGTGACAGCCCAGCCACTCGGTGCCCTTGCTGAGCCTTCAGCCGTGCCACTGAACTGTGGCATCTAATCCCCGCACCCTGCAGTCAGGAGCCAGCGTCAGCACCTCCACTTCTGAAGCACAAGCTGCCTGGCGGCGTAAGCTCGTAAGTAATGAAGCCCGACTGGAATATATTACGTGTCACGTAGCGAATACCTATCTGCTGAAGTGTGATAAATACCCGAATAACCAATACATTGAAATCCAAGCCGGGCCATAGGTTGAGCATCGACCTACGACCCAGGAGGTGTCGGTTCAATTCCCGGTCGGGGCACCAGGTTGCATGGTCGATCCCCAGTCGGGGGCCTGCAGGAGGCAGCTGATCAATGTCTCTCTCGTCACTGATGTTTCTCTCCCTCTCCCTTCCTCTCTCTGAAATCAATAAATATATTGTTTAAAAATACATTGAAATCCAAAAGAAAACAGGTAACGCTTCAACTTGGACTATTTTCCAACAACTAGAAAAGGTTTGAGGTGCTGGGCAGTGACTGGCGTTTCCCTGTGAAATACGGACACTCGTGGCTTGTGAATGAGAAGAGGGGACACTGGGGTCTCTTGGGGGTAGGAGGTGCATTTCCATTCATTTCCTCCTGGATCCTGAAAAAAAATGACTGAAAACGAAAGCACGAGTCTCCAGCGGCGACTCTGCTGGATGAGTGGTGACTGGATGCCGTTAGCCAAGGACCCAGAGAACAAGAGCTACTGTTTGGCTAATTTCTCGTAGCCAAGCAGCTGAAGTCATCGACCAGCCGCGAAGCCAGGTCTGGCTTCTGGCCATCCGACCCGCGGGAGAAGTGGACGTCGAGGGCTCCTGACCTGCAGACAAGGCAGCACCTGCCGAGAGGCCCGGAGCAACCTGCCAGCATGTCCGGAGCTCAGCTCCCTCACCTCCGAGTGGGCTCCCGGGAGGGTCAAAAATAGAGACAGGAAATCTGGCACCTACTGAACGTTTGCATGGGCCAAGCACATTATTTCATTTAGTCTTTAAAACAGTACGCTAAAGCGTAGATACCACAACTGACTCCATTTTACAAATTATACTCCATTATGGGAAAGGGGGGACAGACAGTGAGGAAACTGAGGCCCAGGGAACAGGCGTCTTGCCAGAAGTCGCCCCGGAGCCAGGCTGGGATTTAAGGCAAGTCCGCGGTCGCACAGCACGCGCCCCGAATGTCGTACTTCAGTCAACACGGCTCCTTTTCTCTCTCCCGCATGGTCACACACGGTGTGGCCTTTTCCCCCTTATTATATTTCTATTTTTACTTTGATTTATGTTTATAGCAATAGCTCCAGGGTTTACGGTATATATCTCTAATTTACCATAGGAGATCTCTAAATAGTATGTCCCTTCATGGACACTTCAAGACCTGTACAAGAGAATTAACCCTTTGCGGTCGTATTAAATTTGGACACGGGTGTCGTGCTGGTCGGAATTAAGAGCTTTCAGAGAAATTATGAACCGATACATGAATGAATAGAGTTCAGATTCGTACGGTCCCTTGCTGTGGTGGCTGAGAGCAGACATACGACCGCAAAGGGTTAAGGCTGTGATCAGACCTTTTGTCTTTGGGACAAAAAGCTAACACCCTGAGAGGAGCCGGTCATCCTGAGGTCAGGGGAGGGCGCTGCAGAGAGGATTAATATCGTTAATCCATCCAGGGCCTTTCCTCTCTGCCCCCAGGCCCAGGGGCTGCGGGCTCCCTGAGCCCCAGGTGCCACACCTGACAAACCCACACAACCAGGCCAGGCTGCCCCGGCCCTGAGCAGGCGGAGGGGAATTACGAGGGACCCGCTTGCCTTCCTCCTCGGTGGTTCCCCGTTTTGCTTGGCTCCAGCCGCTCCAGAACCTGGACTCCTCGGCCGCACACCGCAGGGTTACCACGTACTCCGCAAAAGCCTGCAGCCCCGTGAGGTTGTACGTTTGGTCTCCATAGATCCCTTCTGTGAAGTTGACCTCCATCTGCAAGGCAGAGATGACCTTGAGCTGGACGGGAGACCAGTTCTCTCTTTTTCTTCTTTACTCCCCAGCCCTCTCTTACCTTTTCAGAACTAGCAGCATTAGATCTCAACGTTTACAATATATAATTTTCACAAACAGACCTCCATGCATGCCTGGGACCGTCTGCATCCAAACGGAGGAGAGTTACCCCATGAGCCACCACCCCCACCCCCAACCCCACCCGGTGAGGCAGAGGTTCCTGCTGCTGAGCTGGTGTGAGGGATCCTTCTGAGCTCGCAGCTCAGTGAAAAGGCATCCCAGCAAGGAGGTAGGGCCGACGGGAGGGCCTCTCACTGCTGAACCCAAGTTCCCTGACACCCTCTGCCAACAGCCCCGAGATGCTGCCGGGGCAGAATAGGGTTGCTGGGAACATCACTTGGGATGAGCCTTCGTCTCTGGGCAAGGAGCCTTCCCAGCTCCCCTCAGTCATGGGGCCCAGCTGCTAAAGGACTGTCAAGGAAATGACTGAGCTCGGAGCCAGAAAACCTGGGCTCAGCCAGACTGACCTTTGAGAGAAGGCCAACCACAAGTAAATCAAAATAAAACGATATTAATCCATAAAACACAAGCAAGGAAGTCTAACAAAGTTCTGCTTTTCATGTTTTATAAAATATGTAATATTTGTTTTTTAAAATCTTTTGACTGTTTCCTCCTGCGTTGCTAGGTGGCCCCGGACATGCTTGGCTTCCTGCAGGGTCCGCTCGAGTTCATGCTCAAGAGCTCTGCCGAGTGCAGGCCCCGGAGCCTGCTGCTCACAGCCCGAGACCCACAGGGGAAAGGCTGTGGGTCTCACAGGCTTTCACGTGGTGAGCCTCGCAGGCTTAAACCTGAAACTTCTCCAACTCAACACAGGCAACAGGCTCCAAACAAAACATCAACTTCATCAGGTTTGTTTCTAACAATCTGTTCTTTGTGCTGAATCCGGCTCCCCCGAGCTGTATATGTCTCAAGAGATGAATCAGAGAAATGTTGGTACAAAGCCTAAATCAAACTCTGGAAACAGCCTTGGGCTCATTTTGGGGAGCGTGCACAGGACTCACTTTGGGAAGGTGCAGTCCCTTAGACCAGGCCATAGAAGGTGCTCTGGATGTTGCTAAAGGACTGTCAAGGAAATGACTGAGCTCGGAGCCAGAAAACCTGGGCTCAGGTGTGCAGCTTAACACACCTTGAAATCTTGGAGAGGTGACTTAGCTCTCTACATTGCAATTCCTAATCTATAAAAATAAAAAATAGTGGTGTCCTGTTTATAGGATATTTGCAAAGATTAAGCAATTAGAAAAAAATGTGCCAAAGGCTTAAATAAACTATTCACAGAGAAGGGCTCCAAGTGGCCAATAAGCACATGAAAAGCTACGCAACCTCATTAAAGGTCAGGTATATGCAAATTACAGCCATGATTCTATTGTGCCCATACAATGGAATACTACACAGCAATGAAAAGTAGGAACTCCAGCGCTACATGACGTGAATGAATCTTAAAAGCACAATAATGACAGAAAGAGACAAACTAAGTACAAAATGTATGGATTCCATTTGTACAATGTCTGAAACCATGTGGTTCAGGAATACAGGCTTAAAACCATAATAAAAAGCAAATAAATAACTACCACAAAAATCAGGATAACAGCTCTAAGGGGAGTTCATGATAAGGGAGCTTATACTATGAAGCTGACAATAACGATTTGTAAAATGCAGTATTTATGTTGTGTTCACTTTTCTCAATGTGTGTTATACATCACAATTCCATAGAAGGTTGGGAAAATAAAAAAGGAAATAGCCAAGCCGCGGAATCTCTGGCAGCCAACACAGTCAGACACAAGCCAGAGTGGAGGCAGAAGAAAATTTCTCACTCGGTAATCCGCCCACGGGCCCAGAGTGCAGGACGCCTGCAGCCAGGCACTCCCCACCTGAAGGCCCAGAGGGCAGATGGGGAAGGAAAGGGCTCGCTCTTGTCTAGCTTCTGTTTTCAGCGCAGAAAAGAAAAAAGAGTCCAGGTCAACAGTTGTCAATAACCCGTGGCTGTGGGCCGCGAAGAAACATTGTAACAGTGTAACTTACCCAGCGCCCAGAAGAAACATTGTAACAGTGTAACTTACCCAGCGGACACTGTTCACTGTTCTGAATCGCAGGGTGCATTTTAGAGCTTGTGAAACAGGGGCCAACTCGGGCCTTTTCCATTTTATTTGAAGCATCCGTTTGACACCCAAAACTGGTATCACGCTGAAAATCATAGGTGGTTCCACTTTTACTGAAAATAGAAATCACAGATTTGCAAAAAGATCAGAAAGTGTTAATGACATCCACCCAAATTTGTAAAAAACAAAAACCCTGGGAAGGAACTGGTAGCGCGTGTTTTGGGATCGGCCATATGCAGATGCACTGGGAAGACAGTGCTAAAGAAATGCTTGTGGAGAAAGGGACCCGAGTGCCCTGCTGGTGGGAATGCAGACTGGGGCTGCCACTATGGAAAGCAGTAGGGAGGTTCCTCAAAAAATTAAAAATGGAGCTGCCGTTTGACCCAGTGATTCCACTCCTAGGAATGTACCCTAAGAATCCTGAAACACTAATCAGAAAGAATATATGCTCCCCTATGTTCATAGCAGCACAGTTTACAATAACTGAGATCTGGAAACAGCCCAAGTGCCCATCAGGAGATGAGTGGATAAAAAAGCTGTGGGACATTCACACCATGGATACTACGCAGCTGTGAAGAAGAAGAATCTCGTACCCTTTGGGACAGTATGGATGGACCTGGAGAGTATTATGCTAAGTGAAATAAGCCAGGCAGAGAAAGACAAACATCACATGATCTCGCTTATATGTAGAATCTAAAGAACTTAATAAACTGATGAACAGAATAGATTCAATGACATGGAAGCACAGATGAGACTGACGAATGTCAGAGGGATGGAGGAGGGCGGGTGGGTGGAGGGGGAGAGAGTAAACAAAGAATTTATATGCACATATGCACAACCCAAGGACACGGACAATGGTGGGGAGAGAGACTGGGGAGGGGGGTGGGGCGGGGAGGAATGGATCATTGGGGAGAAAACAGGACATCTGTAATATTTTAAACAAAAATAAAAAGAAAAAAGAAAAAATAATAATTCATGAACATTACTGGGAAAAAAATGCTGCCCCCACCCTCCAAAAAGAAATGTCCAAGGAGGAGAGGGTACATTCTTATGATTTTTCTGCAAATCAGCCTTCTCCTGGCAGGGGGAGGTATGCTGAGCAGAATGGAGGTAAGAAGGTGAGGCTGTGCGACGGGAAAATGGGCTGGGCCCCTCCCCTCCGCTCCCCTCCCCTCAGCCTCTCTGCTTGACCCCAGGATGGAGGCGTGGAGAGCCCCGCAGGAAGCACCCCTTCCTTCCTCTGAACACTACCAAAACTCTCTCTTTGAAAAAATGTATTTCTTTTTGGTTATTAAGTAACATACGCTCATTCAAAACAAATAATTTAAACATAGAAAACTACAAACAAAAATTTTAAATTAGCCATAATGCCATCAACTAGAAATAACCATTATTAACATGTTTGTGTGTTTTCAGGCTTTTTTTCTATTAACTGTCTGCATATTTTTCAAACAAAATCAATATTGTTACATAAAGCCCTTCTCTTTTTAAATCACATTATGCCATCAGCGTCTACCCCCTTGCATTAAAAAGTCTTCAAAACGTGATTTTTTTTCAAAGCTTCAGTCTTAGGGATGAGCAGAATTTATTTGACCTTGTCGCTGTCAGTGTACATTCACAGTATTTTCCATTTTTCACTTTAAAGCTCCCCGGGAGCAGAGGCTGAGTGTGGGTCCCAGAGCCAGCATTAACACCTGATGTTTGTTAAGCGAGCGAATGAGTGGGTGAGAGTTGCATCTTTGTCTGGTCTCTGGTGGTTCTCTTAGATCCCCGTCGGGTAGAATGAGTAAAGGCCTATGGAAGTCTTTAGGGCGCCTTCCACGCCTCACTTTCCAAAAAAGCTCCACTGATTGCAGCTTCCACCGGCAGGGGATGAGCACCCCCCTCACCGCACCCTGGCCGCAGGTGCTGAATACTATCAGCCTCTTCATCTTCCTTCCTGAAGGCTTTTGGAAAGCGAGTCTCTACTTAGATCCATGAGTTAAAAACAAACGTTGGCTGAAAGTATTCAGAAAGCTCTTTGTAGCTACTCAAAAAAATAGTAGGTACTAATTATTCCTGGACTAAAGGGTAGTCACCAATCTACGCAGCCACTCAGTGGCTGGAGCTGTACACAACAGACAGATGAAGCAATTTTTATAAGAGTATTGATTTGCATTGAGCACTGGATGAGTATTTTTTGAGAAGAATCATGTTATTGACTCTTCTCAACAACCTCACATTTGTTATACTCATTTTTAAGAAGGGAAAACTGAGATTTTTTGCAGGTTAAATACTTTTCTCATAAGAAGCCCAGCTGGGATTCATTTGCACCCACTGCGAACTCCTGCCCTTCCCATTAACCGAGACTGCCTCGAGTCAGAGCAGACACAAATCCCCACTGTAGCCCCATTTAACCCCACGATTACATCACCAAGGAGGCGTGTGATTTAATTTCACCCCGATTAAAAAGGGCCCTCAGAATTGCTCATTAAGAACTGAGTTATATTGAGTGATGTCAGCAAAATGGGCTAGGAGAGTCCAAGTTTATGTTTCCCCATAGAAACATTAAAAAAACAAAACAAAACAGAACACAGAAGCTGCCTCAACTAATCTGGTTGGAGCTACTGAAACCAGGCAAAGGTTTGGTTTGTAGCTGAAAACCCAACCCAGAAAGGGGCCTTCGGAGTGGCAGGGGAGGTC